TCTTTGGGTTTGGTCAAATACTCCTAGCTGGAGATTTCAATACTGCTTCTCTGAATCTCAAAGATCGGTGTACAACCCCTACTGGTTGGTTTCAGAGACGATTTGGTGCGGCCACTGGAAGCTCTGGGGTTAATGAGCATGTATGTAGTCCCACTAGATGAACTAAGGAGGGAAAGGCCTCAAACCTGAATTATTTGTTAACAAATGGTTAGCTGCTGGTCGGAGATGTTCACACCCAGACAACAATGGGAAGTAGTGACAATGGCACAGTCTTATTTAATATGGTCATAAACGAAATTGACACTCGACGAAAACGAGCCCTATGCTTGCTAAAATAGGGCAAATTTTACGCTTCTAGGGCAGATCTTCTTACATGCTCCCTGGCCACGTGAGTGATGGAGGCTGACAATAGATGATCACTGGCAAACAGTGAGAGACATCATACAAAATTCTGTCGTAGACAATGTACATCAGTCACACCACACACCCAGGAATAGAAGAACATGGGTTGGACGCGGCAATGAATGAATACTACAGGCGAAGAGGAGAGCCTGGCACTAGTGGAAGGTCCCTTTGAAGGATTCTGATTGTAGTTCTTACTTAGCATTGAGAAACAGATGCAATACCAAAGGTTGAAGTGACAGAAGATGCTTTCATATTAAGCTAGCTGCCAAAATACAGACAAACCCGAAGTATCTGTTTAGGTTCATGACGAAAAGAAAACCTACGATTCAGGGATTGTGTTCTCTCAAAGAACCAAACGGGGAAGACCTCCCCAACCTAAAGATGGCTGAGATCTTCAACACTAACCTTACTGAGCAGTTAAACCAATCACTCACCTATTGCGAGTGCTACCCGAACCCAGTGCCAGCTGACGGCTTAGGGAATATCCATATCACTCCTGACTTAGTACTGAGGAAACTAAAATCACTATGCCAAGGTAAGTCACCAGGTTGTGACAATATTCACGACATAGTCTTGAAACATTGTGCATAAGTCCTCTGTTCACCGATATGTGACCTATTCAGGCAATCATATACATTTGAGTCTGTCTATGTTTAACTTGGTTAGGCCCTTTTAATTAACTTATTTAACAGACAGTCATTCGTAGAACAATAACTTATCTGTACCATCGTACTTTTATTATTGTCGCGTTTGTATGAGCAGGTATGATTAAGCACTGCTTACTGCCTATATGCATATTCATCCTACTCGATTTAATGTCGGCCCCTTAAATATATTCGATGACTCATTTATTTTCCTGCCTATATATATGTACATTTTAATCCCATTCACTTACTCGCTGGCTTGCTCTTTGGCACTCGCACATCATTTTCACTTCATATGCCTGTGGTTTCAATGATCTGAGTGCAGTGTAATAAAATACGTCACCACTACATAGCATTCGTCTTCTGATTTATACACCGTTGAGCGTCATCTAATAACGGTTATCAGCGCTAGGTAGTATATGAAGTTTAGCCATGATATCGATTACTAATATCGACAAAACTGGTGAACACAGACATCTAACACGGCTTGTTTAAATATTTGAATTCACAATAAACAAAAAAAATTATTTCATTTGTTTAGAATTTTATTTAGTTAAAACAATAGTTTATTAAATATGATGTGAAAGAGTTTAATCCTCTCAAAATTTCAGAAGCTGTTATTTAGTCGAAAAATACAGGGTATACGATATATTCACCTAAATAATTTTAATTTATATTAAAACAATCTGAAATAGGTGTATATTCTTTTAATTTTCTGTCTGCATTTTAAAGAATTCAAGATAATATATATCATTATAGATAATAATAAGAATTTAACTTTTCTATACCACTCCTACTCCGTCTTGTTCAATCATCAATGGAAAATTGCCGACAGTTCAATATATTAGTTTTGCTTTATTCAAATCAGACACGGTTCAATAATGAGGAGTTATTTTTGCTAAAACAAATATATTCAATTATCACTGAACATTCATTATATATCCTTATCTCTGAATAGAATTAGATTTGTTGTACACAATTTACTTCGACTTGGGGCAGGAATCATGCATATAACACATAAATGATATTCATTTCAAATGTATTTATCTCGATAAATTATTAAGACTCTCGGATTAGAGGAGAATGTCGTGTCACCGGATCCTTGATCCTGGCTCTCGTTTTCCAGTTAAGGTTAACTCGTAATAGTTCAAGCATATCAAATTGACATGTGCGTAACAGTCTCTACGTTGGTGAAGAATCTAGTTAGGTTTAAGACTACGTTATTTGATAGATGCCTACAATACAAGAATGGCAAGTGTTATACAAATCGCCTTTTCATTAAACTGCACCGTGTAGCTTAAACAAAACTCAGTAAAGATGAAACCTTGATCATGAGCAAACCAGACACGGGACGAGGTATAGTTCCGATGAGCAAAACCGACTACATCGATAAAACGGAAGGAATGCTTGATGATCCCAGGAAATTTCAATCAGTTACCAGTAATAATGATGTCAATAAAAAAGTTAGAAAAACAACTGACTAATTCTCTTAAGGAACTAAAGAAAAAAGGGAATAATTACGTCTGAAATTCATGAGTCAATTAAACCGATTGTATCTTATACACCATAACTATACGGTCTGCCCATAGTTCATAAATCGGGTCTTCCTCTAAACGCGGCTCTAGATATGTACAATTCTCCGTACTACAAAATTGCAAAGTGGCTGGTGAGAATTTTAGAGCCTTAGCATAAGTCATTTGTATGAAAGAGTGTAAAATACGTTTTCGATTTCACTCTCAAAGTGGAAAATATGAATGTTAGTACGAAAAATATGATCTCACTGGATGTGGTTTACTAACCTACCACTTCTTAAGACTTGAATTCATAGGCGAGCAATCATCAGTGAGGCAAATCAACATTGGCTTGTGCGAGGATTACCTGAAAGAATTACTCTTAAGCTGTAACATGAACGTCCATTTCGTCTCCAACAACATTTATTATAGAAAAATAGACGGGATAGCCATGAGCTCACCACTGGGCCCAATTCTAGCTGATCTCTTCCTAGTAAAGCTAGAAAATGGACCACTTAATGAGGCTAATGATGTACTCAATCTATATTGCCGGATACGTAGATCACACATTTATCATTGTAGATCAAAACATCAGAAAAGAAACACTCACTGAAAAATTCAACAATGAACACCAGGCAATCAGTTTCACTGGTGAAGAGAGGTATGATAAAAAGCTGACTTGCTTTGAGGTCATACTAAGCAGGCGAATAGATGACTTGCCTAAGTAGAAGCGTACACAGAAAAAGTCCTGATGGTTGCTAATATACTCACTTTTATAGTTTTACACCCTATCCCCTAAAAAATACATTTGGTCAGATGTCTCACTAGCAGAGCGAAATCGATCTGTTCACTGGATACTTTAAGTCAGGGACTGGAATTTATCAACAGCTCATTGATCAAGATCGGCTACCTCAGCACATAGATAAAGTAGTATTTGTTTAATGTAAGAAAGAAGTCGAAGACTTCAACCGCTCAAATAACCTTTATTTATTAAACTATAATTCGACGGAAATGTGGCTAGCGATACTCTGTAGGATAGATGAATGAAAGTAATAAGTAGAACATTCTGAGTAGCCAAACTTGAGTTGACCTTCTCAAGCCAACCAGCAGTGTCTAACCAAACGAAGGATACGTTACCTGAATTGGCCTCTTCTATATTCATTTAAAAATTTAGCTACTTCTGTAGAGAGGGCTATATCGGGCGTACTACCAGGCAACTTAACCGACGAATGAGTAAACACCTCCTACATTCAACCCTGATTTATGTGCTTAGAAGAAATACTTGACGCCCCGGATGTGACTTAACCAACGTTTTAAAAACTTTTTTTAAATCTTGTTTTGTCACTATTAGCATTATTTTCACATCCTGTATTTGTTGGTAATTTTCTGCCCCTTCACGTTTTTATTCTACACTATCCAATAATGTATGCACTTTTTATTACTTAATCTTTTTAATGTTTTGTACTGATTATTTGAAGTCCATTTATCCATTGTTTGACGTACTATTGATAAAACTTTTGTCCAGAGGTTAGGCGTTTGCGCGCAAATCCTGCCAGGTGCAGAAGTCGTGGATGCGCGCTGCTAATAATTCCCATACCACGATGAAACGGCCGTCCACTGCTTCCAAGTGGTCTAATAGTGGTCTCACAATGATTGACTGATGATTTCAGTGTGTAACAATACTAATCTCTATGACTTTCGTTATCGTATTTTATTATTCATCTATATATTACTCAGTTCTGAAATTTTATTCATATTATCATATTAATTTATCCTTATTACCCTTATTACTCTCCACATTGCAACTAACTGATCTCCGGTCTGCTTTTATGATAGCTGCTGGTATCCAGAAACCCTACTGTCCTGAAACAAACGTTTCATTCAAATCCTGAGACATCAAAACTCACAACCAACTGCCATCTGACTAGAATTAGACAGTCAAGTGGCTAGACCTCCATCCATTGGACATTACCGAACACCTGGAAGGGTACCTAAAGAACAAGAATCGATCGCGAAGAAATCAAATTGGTTTACACTAGCTCGTGAAAAAGATATTGGATATTGGGTTATTCTTACCATGTTATCAACCTATACTTTTTCATCAGTTATGTGTACGGGACTGAATCTATTTCATTTCATTGTGATTAGCGACTTATAACTTTCCTTGACTGATTTAACATTTTCATGTTCATGTCTATTAGAGAGAGTATAAAGCTTGATGATGATGACGACGTAATTGGTAAACTAACAATACTGTTAGCTTATTATTTATGTGTTGTTCTAATTTTCACAATAGGAGTCGTTAATATTCAGTTATTCATGATAGAATCTGATATAATTACATTGAGTTTATTTTATTTTAGACTATTTTTTTAAATGTGAAATATTAACATAGAGTTTTATTGATATTCAAGTTATTTCGAACAAACATCAGAGAGCATCAATGTTTATGTTGGCTTCTTTTCTCACTGACACCGTGTATAATATCGGACGGAGATAGATGTTTGATTTGCCTATTATTGACATGTGATGAAAATATCTCCCATAATCCAATGTTGTTAGTTAGTTGTTTAATTTTCTTGTCATCACCAGTCACAAGAATCAACGGATGATTTCCAATATAATATTCTAGAAAAATTTCAGATAAAATTAAAAATTCTATTTTATGATTTTTTATACTTCACTTTCTTGAGTGATTTTTCAAATAAGAGATGTACTCATCAAATCAACAAACTAAGTAAAAAACAATTGCCCCTATGAAATCATCAAGATGAGTGTATCTTCATTGCATTAATCAAAAATACTTTGATCAGAATCACATCTCAATACTCAAAAAATTAGAAATTAAAACATTTACGATTAGTACTGAATGAAGAATCAATGTGAACCAACTACTTGGTATTATTAGAAAACATACGTTTCATGTAATTTTGAATCTCTAGATAGAGGAAAATAATAGGAGTAAATAATGGTCGAAAATGGAAACGATGAAGTGATCTTAAGAGAAGAAGAAGATTTTTCGATGTAACAACACTACCTGAGCCGACCAAATCACTTTAGATGAAGATGCCTTGAAGGACGTTAACACCTTTACATATCTAGGCAGCATCATCGACAACCAAGATGGATCCGATGCAGATGTGAGGGCGTGGATTGGCAAAGCAAGGGTTGCATTTCTACAGTTGAAAAATATCTGGAACTCCAAACAACTTTCAACGAAAAACAAAATCAGGATTTTCAATACAAATGTCAAGACAGTTCTACTGTATGGAGCGGAAACCTGGAGAACTACGAAAGCCGCCATCTAGAAGAAGTGTTTATCAAGAGTTGTCTACGCAAAATACTTCGGATTCGTTGGTCAGGCACCATCAGAGAGAATAAACTAGATTCCAGCAGAAGAAAAAATCAGGAAGAATCGCTATAGTACAACAATAGGACAAACACTGAGGAAAGTACCACACTGCGTCACAAGTTAAGCACTTACTTGGAACCCTCAAAGTCAAAGAAAAAGAAGAAGGCTAAGAAAAAAATTACGCCGAGAAATAAAGAAAGACATGAGAAGAATGAACAAGAATTGGACAGAAATGAAAAGGGAAGGTCAGAATAGAGTAGGTTCGAGAATACTGGTAGGCGGCCTATGCTCTTTTGGCGGTAACAGGTGTAGATAAGCAAGTGAAGTAATCTTATTGGTGTCTAACTCTTTATCGTATTTACTAACCAAGTTTTCATCTGGATGCGATACAGTACTTGAGCTGATCCAATAATGAATCTGATCAATGTTAAATGAGATGGATACATATTCAGTAGAAAACCACGATCAATGTGTAGCTGTTCACTTACGTTCATTGTACTGAATTCTTATTTCATCAGTCAACTCTAATGTTTTCATATAGTAAACTGAAATTTCCAGGGGGAAAAAAAAGGAAAGAATTTCAATTTTAGCGGCCATTAAATAACACTACTATTCAATCACTAGTTCAATAATGTTAATGCATATTGTACTTACGTAAATATTTATTATACAAATAAATATTGGTATGTTGCTTTTCCAATGCGTAATCAAGATCATCAATACTAACTGAAAAGTAAAATGTGATGTTGTCAAAAGGAAACACAATTAGAACTATTGTAATAGTTGAGTCCAAGAATTGATGAAATACACCCATAAAAATACATCACAGTAATTCATGATAAAAGCAACTGGATGACATGTGTTCTATGCAAAATTACACTTACAGAGAGATAATATTATTTCGTCTATACAGTGTGCATCTGTGTTGTCTACAGAAAGCTATTTCATTGGTGTTCTATAGAATAGGATTGAATTCCATCAAAGATGAAACTAATCCCTTCATGTGAGTATGATAATTCAACATGTGGTCAGCTTGCTTTATCGGTGCATTGGATTCCGCTACAAAACAACATGAATTATTCTTCCCTAAATTGGTGGTTATGGATTGTTTACGCCTAAATTTCATGCATCACAATTTCACCAAAGGCATAAAAATATGTAGAAGACATTCACATTTAGACTTTTACAAATCTACAGTAATTCACTAAAAGCAACGCCTTTAACTGGAAGTCAATTGTGCCTAATATGAAATACGCTTCTTCTGTGTGCGATATTGAATATAAGCAATGAGAATACATTGTTTTCGAATATAATTCATTTTGACTACGTTCATTAGAAACTAGATTTTAAATTACTTGTTTGATTAGTTGGTATCAATTTTTGACAATTTTCTTGACTGTGACCAATATGTAATCCTGTTAAATGGTTAAGAAAATATACACACATCAGCACACTACTGACACTACTCCTACTACATCAGCTGAAATAAATTGAAACTTTTGCCCGTTTATGAAATCAAAATCAATTTGTCGATTGCAGATTTAGTACCACACAGTATTCATCACATGTTAGGGTTATTTGTTATATTGTATGTGTGTGTGTGTGCGTGCAATGAACTATCCGTAAACGTATGTGTCGAAGTTGTCAGCATCAGTGAAGTTATCATTTGGTTTGCTATTATCTATCCTCTAACAGTTATATGTGAGTGAATCGGTTGAGTAGGGGTTGTATTACAAATTGTTTGCTAGGATAGATTTCATATTCAACAGTAATGTTCAGTGAAATATTCACAGATATGATTGCATTGTTTCTGCATACGTATTGAATAGTTTACAATTCGAAATCTCGTTAAGCATGAATGGTTCATAATAAATGAGATTATCTGTGTATCCCTTCGCCTAACATTTACTTCTTGCTGAATGTGTCAACAAATTACTAGGAGGATTAAGAACAGAAGAAACAGTGTTTGTTATATACTTGAGGAGTTGTGATTGAATATGAAATACAGGCTGAAGATTTCGTCCAATGAAGGAACGATCAGTTGAATTTACATGCATAGTCCATCTCATATCCAGATGGAAATTTGAACTCAGAGCATCAATCGTATGAAACACCGAGTGTTTTCGCAGTAAGATGTCTAAATACAAGATAACTGATAACCTGTTCAGTCGACAGACACAATCCTAACCAAATGTATTCACAGTATCAAGACGACATTCAATTACAATAGGGTCAAGTATTTCTTCACAAAACCGATCAACTCTCGTTCAGTATTAATTGCAAGGAGATATAGGCTCTGACGATACGGGTGTCCATACTGACATAAATGTTATACTAAGGAAGAATCCTAGTAAACAACTATAAAATACGAAATCTTTCTTTTCAAACTATGGATAAGTTATGATAAAAATTGTTATCGTAATTTGAGAAATGAATCATCAAGTTTTGTGTAAGTTAAAACTCGCTTACTCGTAAAATTTGCCGCCCATGTATAGAGACACGTTGTGAAATTGGAAGATTTCGGCACGCTTATGTCTTCTGTAGCAATGAATGAATATTTGAAATATCAACATATAAAAATACATCATTGTAGATACATTAGGAAACGTTTTATCAATAAAGATAAACATTAATTGTATTAAAATGGCTGGCTATTCGAAAATTGCCATACAGCAAGAATGATGATATATTCTACTGTCACTGATGACCACGATTAAAACAGCTACATCTATTGTTATTTGAAAAAACAAACAAGCAGAAAACACACATACTAAAACGACGTTCTTGTCCTTCAATCCATTCATTTAAATCTAAATCAGTATATTGAAACAATGAATACAATTCATTGAGTACATTTGACAAAACTATTTAACAAGAATCAAATTGAACTGATGAACATGTTTGTTGAAATATTGTTTCACACAAATCGATTCTTTGATTCTTTTACTACTTTGGAAGAAAAAAATTATGCAAAGTCTACATACATATACATCTTGTATACATACATGTATTACAATGTCTAATGAACATTGAACATGATGTTTGTTTACTGAGAAATCACTTTGAATATCGTAATCAATGTAACTAACTAACTAATATATATAAAAATATATATATTGGTCTAATCACATGGAAAATTCATAAAAATATTTATATTCTTTCATACTTTCTGGAATGAATGAAGCATATTTCGAGAGTAAACGTTGATTTTCACAGTGTGCATCTAAAGAGGAGAATGATATTTCAAAGCATAATGATGAATAATTAGGTGAATACCATCACATACACTTATCGATTGTTTGATTTTGGATTGTAAGTCTCTCATTGATTTCAGCTACATTTATCGCCCATTCAATGAAAATAAAAACAAAGAAATCGATGAGGTATAACAATGAGTTTTAGAAATGTATGATTAGTGCGTTTGCTTTTCTATTATGAGGTTAAGGAGACTGTTGTTGAGTCAGTTTACTGAAATCATGAATCACAATCATTGTTAGATCACCATTAGAAACCTGCAAGCCCTAAACGGCCGTCAAGTCCAGTTATGGGACTAATCAGTCGCAGTGCTTATCCAGCACCTTCGGTCTTGAGCGCGAAAGCCTAACCTCTGGACCATTGAGCCTCCATCCGAAGGTGTTGATGTCTCACTTCGATCAACGCTCGAACGATCTTGTGCAAGCATATACACTGTCTGTAGTCAGCACAGAAGGAAACAAACGTCCAGTGCTTGCAGCTGATCTTAATAGTGGTCTAACATTGATCGATTCATGATTTCAAAAGCTTCAGATTTTGTCATGACAGAATTGAAAATGCATCAGTAGGTTTTCAAAGAACAGATGTTTAATCTCATTTGTTACATTTTGCATAGTGCAATGCAGTGCAATGCGATGTTATTTGACAAAATCATTTCAATCAATTGTTTTACAAAAAGGATCACATTTCTTTGCACTCATGTTGAATTGAATTCGATTAACTTGACATAGTTAAAATCAGTCCAGAGGAAGTGAAATAAACTTATCCGAACTGAAATACATTTAACAATGATTTCTAAATGACACAGTCTCCTTACAACATGCGTGATGCTCTTTGAATTATTGTTGAGATTGACAGAAATAATATGAATTATACACTCGATTGATCGATTACCTGTAATCTCTGTTAACTCCTCTTCATATTCGTCAAAATCAAATATTCTCCTTATTATTCTTCCTAAACATTTCACCACAAAATTCAATACTATGTTAAAATTTTACACGATGATAATAATGAAGTTACA